GTTGCTGCCCCGGAAAAACAAACTGTATCCACTGTTTACATAACGCTGGGTTCTTTAGGAAGCTGAACAAAGTTATCTTTCCCTTACAACCAAAAACACTTCTTTGGATTGGAGACATTCTTCCCGAGCAAGTCCCGTGCAGCTCTGCTGCCGGATGAAGCGCATTGATGGGCGCGATCTCGCTCTTGCTCTGGTCGATGCGTGCGCGTTTTTCCGGTAGAAATGCCCATATAAGGAGTTCCACCCTCTTTTACGTCATGAAGAGCCACGATCGAAAAAAACTCTCCGAAATTTGCACGAACCCGGAGGTAGGATTTTTGGCACAGAAATACTCGGTCATACTTCCAAATTGTTTTTTGAAACTTTGTCCATGCTTAGCATGAGAATCCAACTCTTTAACAGTGTAAACAACTCTGAATGCATGAAACCGCATTGTACCTAATAGTTACTTTTAATGCTTCAGTCTGAGGGGCATGTGTACATTTTTATGTCATTTTTCAGTCAGGATCTATATCATTAATGGTGACCATAAAGCCAAAAATGAAGCATAATTACCAAAGAAGAATAAACAAACAAACAAATTAAAAGGAAAACAGGAACTTTTGTAGATGCCTCGTGTATGAGGTTACTTCAAATAAACAAAGATTTTTAAAAGCTTGAAACTCACCTGATCTCCTTCGAGAGATGGAGAAAGCTCCAGTTCCCTCACTATGTGAATGTAATGACACCATTGTTCGAATATCGTCGAGACTTGTTAAGTTGTTGAAATGTCTCTGGAGATAGGAAATGTGCAATTCACTGTTCTCTCTCACCACAACTTCCCTGATGAAGAGCTCTTTCAATTTCTTGACATTTTCTTGCGATTTTGTCAAGAACTGCAGCCGCCATGGTTTCCCAATCACATAAATTGCATGTCGACCAGAGTATGTGAGTGGAGTGGAGCGTCAAAAATTTCCCCTCCGCGCTCCGAGCATTTAATAATCACTCCGCTCCAGCTCCGCTCCGGGTTTACCATTTCCCGCTCCCGCTCCACTCCGCGCTCAATGATATCAGAAACACCGCTCCGCCTTCGCTCCGCGTCTAAAGTAATTCAGTATGTTTGAAATACCACAGTTCAACTTCTGTTCATAACGTATATTAAAAAAATTTATAAAATAACAGTTTCAAAGTGGCTTATTGGAACACTAGTGTGCAAACTTTTTTCCTACCACATGACAAGCTAATAACATATGTCAGCATTAAAAGGTATAATTGCTGCTTTTTGTGGTGCAAATTTCGTTTGTGATGAAACGTTTTCGTCAGTTATTTTACCTACGGATGCATTTCTTACAGATTTCTGCTCATTCGAATCGGATACAGATGAAGTAGCACTGTAAGATTACATCTGTTTGAATGCATTATTGAGAGAGCGATTGCGTGTGAGTAAGTGTTGTAGTACTTGTTTAAATCATGCTTTCAGCTGAAAATATTTATATCTAGAAGGAACAAACAAATTCCTTGAGAACTATACTTCCCGCTCATGTCCATTGCCGTCATCATAGCCTTCACAGTATTTCTGATTTGAGTGATCCATCTCTATCAAGCGAGCTAAATGTTTAACATGTGAATTTTTGCTAAATATGCAGTTATATTACGGGCTGTTGGCATGAATTGTACTTGTGATGGAGCAGAGGTGGAGCGCTTTTGGAGCGAGTGAAAACCACGACGCTCCGACTTTTAAAAAATCTGCTCCTCGCTCCAGTCAAAATCACACTGCTCCGCTCACATACTCAATTCAGATATCTTAAAATATAATTATGACTAGTCGAAATTTAATTAGAGATATCTCTAATTACATTTGCGTATGTGTGACGTGTCTATTGAAGATATTTGTGACATAATTACAGATATCTTAAATGGAGTTTTGACTAGTCAAATCATATTTAAAGATATCTCTTATCCGATTTCTTACTAGTGCAATTATAATTGCAGATATCTCAAATTTTGATTGTGACTAGTCGAATTATAATTATGACTCGTCAAAATACAATTGTTCCTATCTTAAATTATATTTATGGATAGTCAAACCAAAGTTATAAATGCTAAAACGGCTTGCCATACTAGTACAGCAAGAGGTATTTAATGCTAAAACGGCTTGCCATAGACGCGTCTATTGAAGATATCTATGACGTCATTACAGATCTCTTAAATGGAGTTTTGACAAAAAAAAAAACGAAAGAAAAATTCAGTATTATTTATTTATTTTATTGTATTTTTTTACAGTTACTGTATTATCAGCAAATCAGTATTTTTGGTAAATTTAATAAATATAATAATCACTCCACTGTTTACCTTCAATTTCAGCATGAGCAATGTACAAAAAGTTTTTTTTGTTTGTTTTTTTTATAAAGTCCACCTACAGCAGCTCTGTGCACAAATTCAACGGCTGCACATCACAGTTCAAAAGATGTTCCAAATGCGTTTCAAGCCTTCATTTAAGAAAGTAATTATATTTAAACTTTATCAAGCTAACAACAAATTCATATTACACCCTAAATTTACATAAATCCAAATTAAACATACTAATCATTGATGTCAGGGCCGCTGCTGGTCAAATGGGTGCCCTAAGCAGGATTGTATTGTTGTGCCCCCCTCACTCAAATATTATGGAAGTAATAAAAAAACCCACCTACTATAGGGGTCAAAATAGAACTTTAATAAAATATAAAGTAAATATATAAATAAATTGTATTATTTACAAATGACAAATCTAGACAGTTACCTATGGCTATGATTTTATTAATACAGTTGTCTGATTGATTTTATAGTCTCAAGCATTCAGAAATCATGCAAAAGAAAATTAAGCAGTTTTACTACGATAAAACCATAGTTAATTTTTGTAAGGGTTGTGATGTCCACATGTTTTTTGTTTAAGAAATTATAGAGGCTGTGTCATAGCTGTGTATAGCAAAAAGGTGGCCAAAAATTAAAGATTAAGTGAATATTTGAATTAAATGTTTGGTCAATAGCCGACAACGGTTTGATTGTCCTGTAAGTGTAGCAGCAGCAATTACATGGCCTTTGGCTCCCTTTGCAGGCATTTGTAATAACATGTAATGCACATAAATTGTTTATTTTGTATTACATTATGTATTTTAACACTGTTATTCAATGAAACCATATAATTTATATTATATTAATTAAGATATTAATTAACCAATCATTATTGCCTCATTGTTTTTATATAATGTATTTTAAGTCATTTGAAAAGCTATTGTTGGCTTAGGTCTGTTTTTATAACCACAAAAAAAATCATCTTAATACTTTTTTGTAAATTATTATTTGAAGTAACAAAACCATGGTTAATTTGTGGTTACCATGGATACAAGAACCATGATTTTTGGTTTTATTCCTATTAAAACCATGGCTAATTTTCATAATGGAACATGGAAACTCAGAGAGAATATTAGATTTGTTGTTAGTGGTGAAATTATTACAGACATTAAAGGGATTGTTAACGTATTCACAGGATTATGAATGTACCTGAAAGCATGGGTGAGCGTAGCCAGGCTTTGAAAATGAGTGAAAATGGTTTATTATTCATGCAACAATGCATATTACTGTTATAGTTTTTATTAATAACTATTGCTATTATAGCTGATAACGTTGTATAGTGCTCTTATGAATGTTTACAGCATGATTTGTGAAAAATGTAACTACTATAGGCCTACTGAATGAAATAGCATAGACTTCTTCATGACTAGTGTTTGCATATTTCATTTCATTCTGTAACCTACCTACTTGTTCTACAGATCTTTGCAGTAGTGTTAAATGCTACTGTTTTTGACAGCGTTGATAACGTTTCTGGCAGTTAATATCAAGAATTTTTTTTCCCTTACCGAATGTTGTATCCATGGGCCTTTTTGATACTGTCAGTTTAAGTGCCAGTGTTATGGATCAACTGGGGATCATGTTAACTGGGGACAAGCGCGTGCAAGCAACATGTTTACCTGAATTTCTGGCAGATGTTGAACGGCGACAGATTCGTCACATATCATATTCCACGCGGATCATAGTACAAAAAACACGTTTCACCAGTTGTGTACATTGGTATGCACAATAAAGCACTTTGCACTCGAAGTGTCTGTTCCTGCGTATTTGACGCAATTTCAAGAAAGTTTACAATGTTGTCATGTCACGCTCACAAAACCCACGTTAACATGAGACATTCGTTTCAGTGGGCGATCAAACTTGCCAGCACGCTGAAGTAAAACTGTAAGCGTTTTCTTTTCAGCCTTAGTGCATCTTATATGTCATAAAAGAAAGAGAGAGAGAGAGAGAGAGGATACTTTGCCTTGAGTTTGTTCAAAGTGATTTACTCTGCTGATTTTATCTTAGAGCTTGTTTGTACAACCAACTCTGAAGCCTATCCTCTTCCTTGGACATAAAGCCTTGGACACAAAATGCCTATAGATTCATGAAGGTATCTAACACATGCACTGTTAACATTTGCAACTGATTTATCAAAAATCATTTATGTCACGTTCTATGTGTAAAAGGATTATTCTATTCTCTCGTTTTTGAACAAAGGTTTTTCTGGGCACTTAGAAAAATGCAATTTTGCGTTTAAAAGACGTCTATTAGCCGTCTAAACACAGCCCAGACGTCTAGGCTAAAACAAGGCTAAATTTGGGCTGTCAGTGAAAATGTAATAGACGTCTAATCATAGCCCAAACTAGTCATCAATTAGACCGCTATTAATCGACTACATACGTCTAATAGACGGTGAATATGGGTCTAGGCTTCAACAAGGCTGAATTTGGGCTGTCAGTGAAAATCTAATAGACGTCTAATCATAGCCCAAGAATAGACTAGTCATCAATTAGACGGCTATTAAACGACTACATA